CAGAGGATGTCTGAACACTTAATAAGTCGAAGTTGTAGAAATCGAGGGTGGATTTTTCCTGTGTAGGGGCCCTGCTGAGACTGTCGACACTTTTGTTGTGTGGTTAAAAATGGGCCAAACTTGAGAATAGTGAACAGGAAGTGGACGCAAGACGATACAAGATTGTAATCCTGAAGTGAAGCCTCTTGGTTTGTGTCTCGCCTTCCATCCCTCTGCTCAGCCAGCTTTCCTCCACTTCTTCCTCGGCGTAGCGGACCTGACCTCTCTCACCCCCTCTCCCGACCTCCGATTCGGTCCTTGAGCTGCGCGAGTCTTTTTCCTGCTGTCTGCTGGTCTGTAGTCGTCTATCAGAAACATTTACTCTTCTCTTTCCCCAAATCCCCACACACCAGAGACAACACACATGCTCACAGATGCATAAATATCTATATATATACTGTATATGTATACATGAATACAAAACAGGCAAACCTCTGAGATGCCGAAGCTCGCACCCGCACCTGCACACTCTCTGGAGGTGCTGCAGGACACGTGTGCGTGTGTGCGTCTTCGTGTCGCTGATGCAGTTTTTCAAAAAAAAAAGAAAAAAAAAGAAAAAGTACCAGTTTACCTCGGGAGCTCTCAGCCATAGCAGACCTTAATCCCCACAGATATCTCAGTGCTGCGAGCAGCTTCTGAACTGCTGTGGCTGCCGTTAAAGCAGGTACATACTTTTTTTGTTTTTCAGGAACAAACCCAGGAGCCTCAGCAGAGCGCTCTCGGGCCATTTGAATGCATACAGTGCAGGGTTTTTACAGAAACGGGACACAAGCTGGGAGTCCATGTCAACACAGTCTTACCTCAGAATCATGCTTCAGAAACGGGGGCGGGGCTTACATATGATCATAGCAACCGTGAATGACTTTTTTTTTTGTTTTTAAGTTTTATTTCTTGTCTCTGGTGTTGTTGGGTGAAAACAGTCTGCAGATCTTTCTTTTCTCCTTTTTTTTCTTCCACTATAAATATATAAATATATAAACTGTACATTATGACATAGAAGCACTATCAAAGTTTGATTGTTAGATGTGCACTCGCAGCATGAGGTATTATTCTTTATTATTCTTCATAGCCCAGAAAAAAAAGGAAAAGTGAAATGACAGCTTTTGGAAGTTTAAAAAAATATATAAATATATAAAAATAACAAAAACAATGCAGTAGCATCTACTGATGTCAAAGAAAAATACCCAACCTCACCCCACCACACACACACCTCTCCCCACAGACCTTTACCCAAGCCCTGCCCCCTCTTCCCCCTGAACTCCATATGGATGATTGCCCAGATGCTCCCTCGAATCAGCCCCCACCCCCACCCTGCTCTCCTTGTACATGCCAGTGTTTCCCTCATGTGTTCCAAGTGCCAATAACTTTGTGAATTCCTAACTGTGACCCAGTAATAAAGATAATTGCACATTAACTACTGTAAAGAGAAAAAGAAACCAGACTGATTAAAAATGAGGAAGAAATCTGAATATCTTAATAAAAGGTTTGTAACAAACAGGACTGACCTTACAGCGGCGTTGTGTCTTTATTTGCTGCGATTTACTTTTGTCCAAAAAGCATCAAATTCCACAAAGGTGGCTACTTTAAAAACATGTGACCTCATTCAGTGTGACCACTACTGTATATGCAGCTCCCATGTTTATCATATTGACATGGGTCTGAAATTAAGTACCTTAAACCTGCAATCGGTCAGCAGGGAGCGCCACTTGTGTGTGTTCCTTTTAAAGTAACGTAATGACCTTATTTACCGTTTTGGATGCGTGACAATCATGGTGGTAGTGATCCTACCAGCGAATAAGGCTTCTGTCACGCAGGGGTTATGGACTGGTCCATGACCATCTGGCCACCGCCAGTCATGAAGGAAAAATTAGTATTCTCCAGTTGGTTGTGAGTGGTTGGTTGATGTTAATGGCAGCTGCTGGGAAAATGACTGCTAAAGAGGCATACAGACTGGTCAAACAACATGGCAACCATGCGTTGCTAAGGAAAAACGTGTATGCCCCCAACGAGGTGGCAAAAACCTCCTTGACACAGCCGTGGCTGTATCACATCCAATATGGTGGCCAACTCTTGAGCAATGTGCGCATGCCATCACTTCTCAACCCTCAGTAAACATTATTGTGGTCCTACTCATTACAGTATGATTATTTGGTAAATTATTACTTATTTAGAGTAAAACAGATAAAGCAGGGCATGATTTGAGTGGAGTACCAAGTTATTAGCTAATCCAAACAGTTCTGGATTTCAAACACAAGTAACAGACTGCTAAAATAATAAAACCTTAATAACCAAAAGTGAAGCACAGACTTCTTTTCAAGGACTCCTACAAAAATGGTCAAGAGGTTCAGTTGGTGGCTTTAAATAGCAGAGGTGAGGCTGGCAGCTAGCAGCTTGAGCTGCCTGTAGTAGCTTGAGCTGCCTGTAGTAGCTTACCTGTCAATCACAGGTACCAGTTACTTTCTGCCTTAATAAAATCCAAACAGGTGAGTTATATACAAATAAAAACCTCATCTTTTACTCATAATATGATATTTGAAATTAGCTTTAGAGATGAAAACCTTTTTTTTGTACCAGGATGTAAACTTTAATTTAATAATGGGTGTCATTGGGGAGCCTCAAGTGGTCATGAGAGGAACTGCAGACAGACACTCAGCTCAAGAGGTTACATTTGGTTAGAAATAAGAAATAAAAGCAGAAGCTTGGAGTCTTAGGTAGTGAACTAACAGAAATATGCTCCATCAAGTAAATACATATTAGTAATATGATGTGAGTACTGGGTTTTGTGAGAGACTCAGCAAACAATTGTGCTAGAT